GGCGGAGGAGGAGGAGGCGGGGCGGCGGAGGAGGGGGCGGGGAGGCGGTAGGAGGAGGAGCGCAGGAGGGAGCGAGGAGGCGCTGAGGAAGGAGCGAGGAGGAGCGAGGAGGAGGGGAGGCGGTGGTGCGAGGAGGAGGAGGAGGAGGGCGGAGGCGGCGGAGGAGGAGGGGGTGGAGGCGGAGGGGCTGAGAGGAGGAGGTGGAGGAGGAGAGGACTGAGGGACGAGGACGAGGAGTCGGAGGAGCGAGGCGGCGGAGGAGGAGGAGGCGGAGACGGAGGCGGAGCCAGAGGGAGGAGGCGGCGGAGGGGAGGTAGGAGGAAGGGGAGGAGGAGAGGAAGGGGGAGGAGGAGGAGGGGAGGAGGAGGAGGCGGAGGCGGAGGGGGGGGGTTGGGGGGGGAGGGGGAGGGGGAGGGGGAGGGGGAGGGGGAGGGTCGAGGGGGAGGGGGGAGGGGGAGGGGGAGGACGGGCGAAGGAGGAGGGGAGGAGGAGGAGGAGAAGGAGGAGGAAAACGAGGAGCGAGGAGGAGAAGGAGGAGGAGGAGGAGAAGGAGGAGAAGGAGGAGAAGGAGGAGGAGACGGCCTGGGTTGAAGGGCGGTGGTCTGCAGGCGTGTGGACGCCACGTGGGAGCGGCGGGGCGTCGGGGGTGCGGGAGCCTTCGAGGATCGAGGCTCGTGAGATCTGGTCCTTCGTTGGGCCTCCCGGGGAGAGGAGGTCTCCTCGTCTCCACGGCTGGATTTGGCCAGTAAGGCTCCGAAGGACGGGAGTCCTGAAGGCAATGTGTCCTTGGCCCCATGGTGTTCCCCAGGACGGGCTCTTCATCCTGGGCCGTTTGTTACGATCCCAGGGCCGGCAGGGGCCCGGGGGGGTCGAAAACAGTGACAAAAACCAAGGACCCTTCTCCCTCCCTTCCTTCAGGGACCGTCGGCGCCGCTGATGTCTCGCCTGACGGCCTCCTTCTGGCAGCTGGGTGCCGGCATAGCGCCCTATTCATCTGGCGCCGCCCGAGATCACACAGCATCGTTCAATCACACGCCTGGTGTAGATTCTCCTGACTCAGAAGCCGCGGCGGCGGACCCAGCGCGGGCGTTCCTGGCTGGGCGCCGCCATCGGTCCAGGGTCGGCCAGTGTTCCGCACGAGCTTCTGCGATCGGAGAGCCGCGATCTTTCAAGGCTGAGCGATCCGCGCGGCGTCCGAAGCCAGCGCGCCAGTCGTTGCGACAAAATGCCTTACAACAGAGACCCATGCCACGAAACACCCTGATTGCCTCCAGGGTGCCCTGGGTTTCTTGGGTTTCGATGGTTTTGCCGTGGAGAGCGTGACGTGCCCGGGTCTGTGACAGACCTGTCCACAGAAAAGCCGCAGGTTTTTTGTTTTGTTCTCTGCGCAGTCATTACCATGGTCCTCTCTGTCATCCTTTCTGCGAGAGTGCTACCGGGAGGGGGAGGAGGAGGACGAGGAGGAGGAGGAGGAGGAGGAGGAGGAGGAGGAGGAGGCGGAGGGGGAGGGGGAGGAGGAGGGAAGGAGGCGGAGGAGGAGGAGGAGGAGGAGGAGACCTTCTGTGCACAAGAACGGGCAACGTGGACAGGACAAGCACGACGGGCTGTCCAGCCCCGTTTCGGGCCCGCTGGATTCTCTCGGCGGGATGCGAACCCATGTCCACGGCCTTGCGGTCCGGTCGGCCTCTTCGGCCGCGACCACACGTATACAGGGGCGGCTTTGGGCGGGTGCCCCGCGCGTCACGGACATATCCATGGGATCACGTATCCATGGGAGCGCGCCTTGGCATCCAGACCGCGAGTGCATGGATATGGATGCGTTCGTCGCTGGTGACGGTGCTGCCCGATGAAACAGCTACAGCTATGTAGCACCCCGCAGTTGAGGATACGAGTGAGGGGGCGGGCGCGGAGTGGGTCGCGGGTGGGGTCGCGGGCGAGTCGCGGGTAAGTCGCGGGCTGGGTCGCAGGTGGATTGCGAGTGGGTCCTGAGTGGGTCCTGAGTGGGTCTTTGGCGGGTCGCGAGTGGGTCGCGGGTGGGTCGCGGGCGGGTCGCGAGTGGGGCGCGGGCTGGGTCGCGGGTGGGACGACGACAACAACCACAACAAGCAAGAACGAACGAATGAACGAACGGCAACAATGAAACCACAGCCAACAACAACAACAACACCGACAGCAAAACCACAGCCAGCAACAACAACAACCACAACAACAACAACGACATCAACAGTGTCAACAACAACGACAACCAAACACAGCAACCACGCCACCACCACCAACGACAGCCACAACAAAACCATCACCATCAACATCACATACACCGCCAACAACACCAACAGCATTACCAACATCAACAGCAATCACTTCAACACCATCACCACCAACAATAACAACACAACCAGTCATATCAACAGTGAGTTTAAGACTGTTTGCTCCAATCTGCTTGCCTGCCATCCAACACGTATATCCAAAACCGTCTGTACCCGCCCTCTTCGTGTTCGATCGTACGCCCTTTGGGGTACATGTTGTTTACCTGCCACAACTCGCAAGAGGGAGGCTAGCAGGAGAACCAGACGGGCAGATCGGGCGGGTAGGTCGGGCGGGCGGATCGGGAAGGCGGGCCAAAGCGGCCAGGTCGAGCAGGCGGGTTGTTGAAGCGTGAGTCCCGCATGAATCGCGAAGTCTCAAGCGATAGCGCGATGCACAAGGAAATCGTGAGCAAGGACAAAGCGAAATTGTGATTCCTGAGTGCCGAGGGCGCGGCGTCTTAGTAAATTGCGGGGACGTCCCACGCGAGAGCGCGATTCCTGCTTCAAGTGTGAGGCATTCCCGCGCGAGAGCGCGAGTTTGGAATAATTTGGGAGGAAGAATCCGGCTGGAACCGTTGTTGTTGTAACTCGGGGGCCAGGGGCCCAGCTTGGTGACACCCAGCTTTCCCTTGAAAAAACAGGGTGCGAGCCCCAGGAGGGGCACCTTCAGTGAAAACATAGAATGGCCACCATAGGGGGGAACACACAATATCTATATTTAGTCTTCAACTGCAGAAGCAACGCAACAACCATCCGCACCACGCTACCTCACTTGAGCCACGCACCCAGGGACGGGGAGTGACCATTCGGCCCCCTGACAAGGGAAGACCTCTGGCGTCCTGGTCCTTCCAACACGCGGGCCCAGGAGGTCTCCACCCAGTCCTGCGCATTCTCTTAGCCCCTTTCATGCATGCCCTCCCCAGCTTGTCTCCCCCGCCGGGGCTTCCATGGCCATGGCCAGAGCGCCTCCGGAACACGCTCGAACGCAATCTGGCCGGCACGTCCCGCCTGATGGTGACTACCGTTGTACACACTGCTATCTTGGCCACACACAAAAAATGACACCCTCCAGTTGATTGTTCCCAGGTCTCAGGGAAGAGTGGCGGTGTACAAGCCACCATGAAGGGTGCTATCTGGACGGAGGAGGAGGAGGATGAGGAGGAGGAGGAGGAGGAGGAGGAGGAGGAGGAGGAGGGGGAGGAGGAGGAGGAGGAGGAGGAGGAGGAGGAGGAAGAGGAGGAGGAAGAGGAGGAGGGGGAGGAGGAGGAAGAGGAGGAGGAAGAGGAGGAGGAGGAGGGGCTCTATCGAGGATGGGCGCCTCCCAACCGAATATCCCCGAGCTGGGCCCCCGTCTCTCTTCTCTGGCCGCCAGCACGACACCGTCGGGCAATGGGGTCGCAGTGCCGCAGGTTGTGTCCTATTCGGCCCCCCCCCGCCCTTTTTACCCTGGTGAAGCCAGCGTCCGCTTGGACGCAGCAGGCATACTGTGATTGGACTGGAGACCTTGTAGCCTGTAGGCCCCAGGAACCAGGCTCATTTGAACTCGGTTCGTTTCCCACCCCCCCGACACAGCCGATCCACCTGAGCCGATTCGTTTCCCCAGCCCCCGGCACAGCTGATTCGTCTGAACCAGTTCGTTTCCCAGCCACCGACACAGCCGATTCATATGAACCAGTTTGTTTCCTGGGCCCCCACTGCGCAAGGTTCACTCCTCCGACCCTACGGAACAATTGAACTCATGTCCTCAACCCCACGGAAAATTGATTTCATGTCCCGACCCGAAAAATGAACGGTTCGTGTTCTCATCCCTTGGAGAATTGAACGGGTCATTTCCCCCGACCCCGAAAAATAAATAGTTCATGTTGTCAACCCCTGGGGAAGTTGAACACGAAAGGCTCATTTCCCCAACCCTCGAAAACATGAACGGTTCATATTCCCACCCCCTTTTGTAAATGACCTGGGAGTTATGGGCATGCTAACTCACGCTACGGCCGTAAAACATGAACGGTTCATTTTCCCACCAAACAATGAACCACGAGTTTGGGGCATGCTAACTCAGTCTACGGCCGCAACAAATGAACGGTCCATTTTTCAAACCCTTGGAACATTTGGTGTTTCATGCCCCCACTCCGAAAGAAGAAGCGCTTCTTTTCTCAACCCTTTACAAAGTATATTTTGCCCAAATTGCCCAGTCCCCAAGCCCAGAAAAAAAACGCATACGGCTCATGTTCCCACCCAGCCATGTAGAAAATAACCGCTCATCTTCTCCCTGAAGAAAATGAACCTCGAGCTCGGGGCATGCTGACTCACGCTAGGGCCTCACAACAATTAATGTGTCATGTTTCACTCCGCTCATTTTGCCAGGGGGTCGTGAGAACATGAGCCGTTTATGTTTGGCGGCTCGCAAAACGGGCCGTTCGGATGAATCGGGAGATGAGACGGCGGGGGGGGATGAACCTCGTTTTTCTTCCGAACGGCGCAGGAAGAAACAGTGACATTCAGCTCTAAAGAAACACCTTTCGCAAAAGGTCTCCAACCCACTCAAGGCACACCTGTCTCGACCATAGTGTTGCCTCCCCGGCTCAGTGACCAGGCCTCCTTTTTCGGGCCTCCTGCCTGTGAGCGAGGTTGAGGTCATCGTGCGCAAGTTGCGCACGACTGCGATGTCCCTGACCCCCTTCCGCGCCCCCTCAGGGCCAGGCTGGAGGAGGCCCTGGACGGCTTCCTTGCCGACGTCCCCTCCTGGCGCGGGGGCCAGCGGGACGCGGGACGCTCCGTGCTAGGCCCGGGCGCCCCCATCTGCGAGCAGCCGAGGGCGACGTCGACGACGGCTGCGGCGGCGGCGGCAACGTCGACGACGACGACGACGACGACGACGGCGATGGCGATGGCGGCGGCGGCGATGGCGCCGGCGGCGACGGCCACGGCCACGGCCACGGCACCCAGCACGTGATTCTCCTCTGCATCCTCCTCCCCCTTCTCCACGTCTTTCTCGTCCTCCTTCTCCCATTCCTTCCCTCTCCTCAGTCCTCCTGCCGTCGCTCCTTCGTTTCTCCTTCACCTCCTCCGCTCAATCCTCCTCCTCCTTCTCCACCTCCTCTGTACTTCCTCATCCCCCTTTTTCCTCTGTACCCCCTCACGCCTGGGAGATATCCCACACTGGTCCCACCCTCCGCTTCATTGTGGATTTGCGAGGGCCGCTGCCGGGCTTGCTCACGATACTTACGCTGAGGGTGCCATCCTTTCGTGCGTGGATGCGATGGTTGAGGTACGGGAGGCACAGGATCGGCGAGCTCTTTCACAACGGGTTACACGTCGTGTTCTTCGCGCCGACTGTATGGAGAGTGACCCCGCAGCGTGCTTCCAGTTCTGTCTATCCAAGTACCTCAACAACTGGCAGCCTTTCTTGTATTATGATCATTGGGAGTCTGTTCGAGCATGTCTCTCATTGATACCTTGCAGCTGAGCGAAGACTGGGATCACGACATGCATCTGGATGGCTATCTACCAGTCGAAACAATTACATGGCAGGGAAGTGGTTCTGCATGTTCAATCGTCGTGGCTGTCCTGATCGGCTCGCTCACTACGTTCGCTGCCAGCCTCTGTTGAAAGCGGTAGCCCTGCCGCTGGAAAGATCGATTCCCAGACTGCTTGCTGAAATAATGGACCTTTTCCGCCCCGTCGTTGATGCGAATTGAAGAGATGGTGGTCGCCTACGACACGTACCATTCTGCACGGAGACAGGACTACGCCAGTATGTGCGGCGCATCCTGATGCTCCGAGCGAACCTGTCTGTCTCTCCTCTCTCCGTTTCGCTTCTCTGTTGAGTGCCCGCTGTTGATGGCCTCTGCTGTCTCGCTTGCTTCCTCCCCTCAGGTTAAGACGAGTGTGAGACGAGCCACGTCGAAAGAGGCGTTTGTCCCTCGCAGTGTGGAGGGCCTGGGCTCCACTACAGGCTTCGCGGCCAATGCAGAGGCAGGTCCGTCGCCTGTCTCCCTCACATGAGGGCGTGGCCTGGATGACGAACCCATCCGGTACGTGGTGCTCTTCCTCCTGGCTCCTCTCGTGGCCCTCTTTTTCTACCTCTTCCTGGTAGCCCCCCAGTCCTTCCCTTATTCTTCACACTTGACTTCTCCCTTCGCCCTTTCCAGACGTTCTACATTTATTCTTCACACTTAACCATTCCCTTATTCTCCCTGATTCTCCCTTATTCACACTTATTATTCAGTCTTTCCCTTAACTTCTCCCTTATTCTTCACACTTAACTATTCCCTTATTCTTCACACTTTCCAGACGTTGTTCGGGCATTTCATCTCCGGCCGCGACCTCGGAGCTTGAGCTGTGAGCAGCTCAACGGTCGGAGGGCGGGTCGTTTCCAAAGTGGGGTTCTCGCCCTGGCGCCGAAACCATGCCGGTTTCAAAGCGGGGATCTCGCGCCGCGCACCTCCTCCTCCTCCTCCTCCTCCTCCTCCTCCTCCTCCTCCTCCTCCTCCTCCTCCTCCTCCTCCTCCTCCTCCTGGGGGGAAGGGAGGCCTCGGGCGCTCCGCTGGCCGCGCTGCACGGCCTCTCGGTCGCCCCGCGGGGTGCGCGGAGGGGTCAGTTCTACGGACGGAGGGCACAACTCGGAGCTCTCGCCCGAAGCCTGATCGAGCAAGTCGTCTTCGCATGGTGCAAGAGCACAGCCGTGGCACTGACGGAAGGCGATTCTTTTTCAAGACGATCCCATCGGTTGATATGTACTTCTCCGTGGCAAAAAAAAGTACGAGCCAGTGTGGAGGTCAACCCGTGTGTGTCTAGCAATCTCTGTTGTTCAATCTACGTGATGCAACTTTTATTGCGCAAAGTATGTGGTGCAACCTCTGTGGTGCAATACATGTGTCTCAGTCTTTGATGTGCATTCTGCGTTGTGCAATATAGGTGGTGCATCCCAGTTGTGCACTCTTTGTGGTGCATTCTATGTTATACAGACTATATGGTGCAATCGATGTGGTGCAATCAATGTGGCAAAGTCTATTTCGAGCAACCTATGCTGTTCAATGTAGGTGGTGCAGACCAGGTTGCGCACTCTATGTGGTGCAACCTATTTGGTGAACACAATGTGGTGAAATACCGGTTGTTCAATCTGTGTGTTGTGCAGTATACGTGGCCAGCTCATATATAATTATATGTGTATATAATGGGCAGTCTATATGGTGTTATAGATGTTGCGCAATAGATGGTGTGCAATGGCTGCGGTGCAATTTATATTGCGCAAAGCCATGCGTTGCAACGCTACGTCGCATAAGCAATGCAGCGTGATACTAAACGATGCCAGGCACTGCAAAGCAATGCAGAGCACGGTCGAAGAATACACAACACGGCAAAGCAAAGCATGCCATCGCAATACAAAGCAGGGCGAAACAAGCCCAGACCACGGGCGGAGACGGGGCGGCGACGGGGTGGCGACGGGGCGACGGCGACGACATCGCCGCCAGACCGACCCCCACGCCAGAAATTCCAGACATTCCAGAAATTCGTAGGAAATCCAGAAATTCCAGAAATTCCAGAATTTCAAAAAAAATCCAGAAATTCCAGAAATTCCTTGGAATAGCGGTCCGGCCGGAGGCGGCGACGGGGCGGCGACGGCGACTATCTAGCCGCCAGCCGAGCTGCTTTTTTCCCCATGGTAGGCCAGGGCCGGCGCCGCTATCCTGGGGATTTTTTCTGGAATTTCTGGAATTTCTGGAACTTCTGGATTTTTGGAATTTCTGGGATTTCTTTTTATTTGAAGTGTGCGTTGAGAATACTGCTCAGACATGTTACAATTTTAACACATTCCACGAAACTCCAGGAATTCAAAAAATTCCAGAAATTCAGAAGTTCCAGATCATCAACAGAGGATTCCAGAAATTCCAAAAATACCAGAAATACCAGAAATTCCAGAAATTCCGCGGAAATCAAAAAATTCCAGAAATTTAAAAGAAACTTGCAAATTCCAGAAAATCCAGAAAATCAATATATTCCCAGGAAACCCAGAAATTCCAGAAAGTCCAGAAAGTCCAGAAATTCCAGAAAATCCAGAAATTCCAGACATTCCAGAAATTCTTAGGAAATCCAGAAAATCCAGAAATTCCAGAAATTCCGGAAACTCCAGAAATTCAAAGAAAATCCAGAAATTTCAGAAATTCCTCGGAATAGCGGCCCGGCCGTGGCTCGCACTGTTTTTCCCGACGTAAGAGCCCTCAAGGGCGCGCACTGTTTGTTGAACTTGGTTTCTGTTTCGCATTGTAGCACCATCAGTCTCACGTTGTTGAGCAACTACGTGCACGGATGTAGGGCGGGCTCCTTGTCAGATGTGACTCACGCTGGGCGCCCCACTTGACCGAATTCTCCATAGCTCGAAGGATGGACGGCAGTTCCTTTTCAAAAAGGAGCTTCGGCCAGGATTACGCGCCGAAGGGGGTCTGTCTTTCAAAGTAGCGTTTCGCGCAGATAAAGAGAACACCGAAGGAATGACCCAGGGGGGGGAGGCTTGGGACGGGACGGCGCATCACAGCGCTTATTATCATCCTTCTCCTCCTCGTCTCCCCGTGAACGTCCTTCCCATCATTATCCTGTCTTCCCACTCACATGTAGTAGGCACGTGAGATTAGGAACCGACCTGCCAACGGGTGCCCCACTGGAGATTCTTTATCCCCCGCTGAGCTCGCGGATCCCTTGGACAGGTCAGAGTCGACGGAACATGTGCCCATAGATGGTTATAGCAGTATGTCTTATTGTTCTTGCTATATCCTCAGGCATCCCACGTCGCCATTGTTTGTGACAGCGAGGCTCGCCAGAGGTCGGGGCCTCTTTCTCGGGCCCGGCGATGGCCCCTGGAGGCCGAAGATTGCCGAGCATTGTCCGTCGTGGATGTCTGGGTTTATCCTACCCCTTCCTTTGCCACTCGCTCTCCTCCTCCTTTCCTGCCTCCTCATCGCCCCGCTTCCTTCCTCCTTGCTCCTCCACGTCCTCCAGTTGTCGTCCTTCCCACTCCTCAGCCTTCCCCTTCTTCTCACCACTCTCCTCCTCCTCCTCCTTACCCTCCTCCTCCTCCTCCTCCTCCTCCTCCTCCTCCTCCGCCTCCGCCTCCGCCTCCTCCTCCTCCTCCTCCTCCCACCCCTCCTCCTCCTCCTCCTCCTCCTCCTCCTCCGTCCTTCCTCCTCCTCCTCCTCCTCCTCCTCCTCCTCCTCCTCCCCTGCCTTGCTTCCCCTCCCTCCCTCCCCCATCCTTCGCCGTCCGACCCCCTCTCGAAGAGCCGAGGGGCCGCCGCCGGCTCAGTGTGCCCCAGAGGCCCCCGGCGGGTCCGGGACGCGGCCCGGGCGCGACGCGCCCGGCCGCCCGCCAGCGAGCGCCGCATGGCGGACGCCGGCGCCGAGGGCGCGGCCGGCCACATCCAGCTGAAGGTGAAGGACCAGCAGGGCAGCGAGGCCCCGAGTCCTCTGAAACACTGTGGGGGGCCGGGAGGGGTGGGCAGGAGCGGGAGGTGAAGGGTGGGAGGGAGGGAGGGAGGGAGGGAGGGAGGGAGGGAGGGAAGGAGGGAGGAGGAGGAGGAGGAGGAGGAGGAGGAGGAGGAGGAGGAGGAGGAGGAGGAGGAGGAGGAGGAGAGGCCGGGGATTTGTGGAGTCCCTCGCTGTGGGTTTTAGACCAAAATTTACGATATTCCAGTTTGTTCCTCATCATTATGCTGATGTTTCCTTTCTCGTTTTTTTTTTTTTTTTGTTTTCTCTCTCTCTCTCTCTCAATCTCTCCCACTCCCATTCCCATTCCATTCCCATTCCCAATACCATTACCATTACCATTCCCATCCCAATTCCCATTCCCATTCACATTACCGTTACCATTACCATTACCTTTACCTTTATCTTTACCTTTACCTGTACTATTACCATTACCATTACCATTGCCATTACAATTGCCAGTGCCATTACCATTGCCATTACAATTGCCATTATCATTGCCACCGTCATTGCCAGTGCCGTTGCCATTGCCATGGTATTGCCATTGCCAGTAGCCACCCCGTTACCATTACCGTTACCATTACCATTCCCATTACCATTACCATTCGCCACCACCATTACCATTGCCATTATCATTAGCATTACCAACACAATTGCCATTACCATTACCATTACCGCTGCCATCACCATTACAATTCCCATTCCCATCATCATTGCCATTACCATTACCGTTACCAGTACCATTTTCATTACCATTGCCATTATCTTTCCCACTACCACTACAATTTCCATTCCCGTTCCCGTTCCAATTACTACTACGATTACCATTACCATTACCATTACCATTACCATTACCATTACCATTACCATTACCATGACCATGACCATGACCATGACCATGACCATTACCATTGCCATGGCCATTGCTATTGCCATTGCCGTTGCCGTTGCCATTCCCATTACCATTGCCAATCGCTACCCCGTTACCATTGCCAAAACCATTACCATTACCGTTATCGTCACCATTACCATTCCCAGTACCATTATCATTACCACTGTCATTGCCATTACCATTACCAATGCCATTGCCATTGCCATTCGCCACTACCATTACCATTGCCATTCGCCACTACCATTACCATTACCATTGCCATTGCCATTGCCCTTCGCCAATACCATTACCGTTGCCAGTACCATTACCATTCCGATTAACATTCCCATTCCCAATACCATTACCATTACCATTACCATTACAACTGCCATTGCCATTACCATTACCTTCACCTCTACCTTTACATTTACCCTTACCCTTACCATTCCCATGTCCGTTACCACTACCACTGCCATTTCCATGCCCGTTCCCATTCCCATTCTCATTCACATTCCCTTTCCCATTCCCATTCACATTACCATTGCCATTACCATTACCATTGCCATTGCCATTGCCATGGCCATTACCATTGCCATTGCCATTCCGATTGCCATTGCCATTGCCATTGCCATTACCGTTGCCGCTGTCATTGTCATTGCCATTGCCAGTCGCCACCCCGTTACCACTATCATTACCGTTACCATTACCAGTAATATTACCATTACCTCTGTCATTGCCATTACCATTCGCATTGCCATTGCCATTAGCCACTACCATTACCATTGCCAGTACCATTTCCATTGCCATTCCCATTCTCATGACCATTACCATTACCATTACCATTACCATTATCACTATCATTTCCATTACCATTACCTTTACCTCTACCTTTACCTTTACCCTTACCCTTATCATTCCCATTTCCGTTACCACTACCACTACCATTTCCATTCCCGTTCCCGTTCCTATTCCCATTCACATTCCCGTTCCCGTTCCCATTCCCATTACCATTGCCATTATCATTACACTTACCATTGCCGTTGCCATTGCCATGGCCATTATCATTGTCATTGCCATTGCCAATCTCATTGCCATTGTCATTACCATTACCGTTGCCATTGTCATTGCCATTGCCAATCGCTACCCCCTTACCATTACCATTACCGTTACCATCACCAGTACCATTACCATTACCTCTGTCATTACCATTACCATTACCATCACCATTGCCATTGCCATTCGTCACTACCATTACCCTTGCCAGTACCATTTCCACTCCCATTCCCATTACCATGATGCTACCGCTGCCATTACCATTAGAATTCCCATTCTCATTCCCATTCCCAATACTATTACAATTTCCAGAACCATTACCATTACCATTACCAGTGCCATTACCATTACCACTACCACTATCATTTCCATTCCCGTTCCCGTTCCCATTCCCACTTCCATTCCCATTACCATTACAATTACCACTGCTATTGCCAGTACCATTACCATTACCATTACCATTACCATTACCATTACCATTACCTTTAACTCTACCTTTACCTCTACCCTTACCATTACCATTGCCATGGCCATTACCATTGCCATTGCCATTGCCATTGTCATTGCCATTCCCATTGCCATTGCCATTGCCATTAACATTACCATTACCGTTGCCATTGCCATTGTCATTGCCTCGCTACCCCGTTACCACTATCATTACCGTAACCATTACCAGTACCATTACCATTACCATTACCATTGCCATTGCCATTGCCATTGCCATTGCCATTCGAGGGTTTCAGTAGGAATCATTCAGTGGAGGGTTTCAGTAGGAATCCACATGTGGAGGATTTCGGTAGGAATCATTCAGTGGATGGTTTCGATAGGAACCCTTCTGTCGAGGATTTTACTGTGAATCCTTCTTATGGGGGCGTCCAATAGGAATCCTTCTAGGGGGGAGGGCAGATGTGGTCACGTCGCATTCCTTTTCTTTTTGTTTTCTCCTGGCGCCCCCCCCAGAAACAAAAAACAAAAAGAAACTGATTTTTTTTTTTTTCTGGGGGGGGGGCGCCTGGAGAAAAAAAGGCAGAGAGGTAGCAGGAGGGGGAGAGGGAGGAGGAGGAGGAGGAGGAGGATGGGAGGAGGAGGAGGAGGAGGAGGAGGAGGAGGGGGCGGAGGAGGATGAGATGAGGAGGACGACACAGAGCAGAGTTTGCATAGAAACAGTCGCGAACTCAGCGCGAAACCCTCGCGCGCGCGCGCGCTTTTGAACCCCTGCGACTCCACAATCCCCCGTTCTCGAGGAGGAGGAGGAGGAGGAGGAGGAGGAGGAGGAGGAGGAGGAGGAGGAGGAGGAGGAGGAGGGGGAGGGCCCTTCCGCCTCCAGGTGAAGAGGAGACGGAGGAGAGCGAGGGAGAGAGGGAGGGGGGAGGGAAGGAACGGAGCAGGAGCAGGAGAAGGGGAAGAGATGATGATGATGATGATGATGATGATGATGATGATGATGATGATGATGATGATGATGATGATGATGATGATGATGATGATGATGATGATGATGATGATGATGATGATGATGATGATGATGATGCTGATGCTGATGCTGATGCTGATGCTGATGCTGATGATGATGATGATGATGATGATGATGATGATGATGATGATGATGATGATGATGATGATGATGATGGTAATGGCAGGGGATTTGGGCAGTGTGGCTAGGCCTTGCCCTTCAACTCTTTCTGACGCCGGCCAGTTCCCCCCCAGTTCTATCCAGCCCTGGCGGCTTCATCTCCCACAAGTGTCTGGCTCGCGTCGGCCCCCAGCAGGCTTTACGGCGTTGGGCACCTCATCTTTCGGGCGGGGGTGTCCAACTTCACTATTGCCGGCTTCGCTGTGACTACTACCATGGTGTGGGCGTCTGGAGTCTCTGGTGTAGTCTCTGGACGACGACGTCGTCGTCGTCGTCGTCGTCATGGTCGTAGTCGTCGTCTCTGGGCCTCCGACGGGTCGATCCCGTCGAGTCGCTGGGCCCGGGGGTCTCTCGGTTCTTGTTTTTCCCCCGGCGCTGCATGCCCATCAGAAGCCGCTGCCGTGGATGGCCGCTCGGCCCCCCACAGCATCCCAGGGGCGCAGCGCATCTCGAAGCAGATCGGCGCGACGACCCATCACGAAACCGAGCGCTCGTTACTTATCCAAAAATTGGTCCAAGATTGGTCCAAGATGGCCTGGCACGAACAACATCAGGGCACTCAGACATGCGGAGTCTCCGCCTGTCGCCTCTCTGGTGTCTCTCCGCCGCGGAGAGACACCAGAAGCTCCTCGCCGTGCCCGGGCAGGCGTTGCTGCCCGGGCAGGCTTCGCTCGCTGCTCCCGGGCAGGCTCCCGCTCGGCGCGAGGCGTGAGAGTCGCCAGAGGCAAGCCGGCCTTGCAAGTCTCGCAGGTCCTTGGCCTGTGCTGTCGCGCACGCGCCGGTGGCCAGCATGTGTGCCCGGCGCCCTGCAGGCGCGAGGGCGGCGGAGGCGGTGGAGGATGTGCGTGAGATCTTAGAAGACTGGGAGGGAGGAGGAGGAGGAGGAGGAGGAGGAGGAGAAGAGGAGATAGGAGGAGGAGGCGGATAAGAGGAGAGGAGGAGTAGGAGGAGAGGAGGAGAGGAGAGGAGGAGGAGGAGGAGGAGGGAGGGGAGGAGGAAGAGGAGGAGGAGGAGGAGGAGGGAGGGGAGGAGGAGGAGGAGAGAGGGGAGGAGGCGGAGAGGAGTCGGAGTATGAGGATAATGCGTAGGAGGAGGCGGAGGAGGCGGAGGCGGAGGCGGAGGAGGAGGAGCAGGAGGAGGAGAGGCGGAAGAGGAGGAGGAGGAGGAGGAGGAGGAGGAGGACGAAGGAGGAGGAGGAGGAGGAGGAGGAGGAGGAGGAGGAGGAGGAGAAGGAGGGAAAGGAGGATGCAGCGGCGGATCGTGCAGCATATCGCACGAGGTTGCACTCTCAGAGGGTCAAGCGAAAGCATCACACTCTGCCGATTGAGGGGCGTGCGCAGAGAGTTTCTTCCAAAGCGCATCCTCGGACGCTCATGGGGCTGGCAAGCAGGGAACGGGAAGGATTTCGGTCGGGCACGTTTGGTCAGCTTGTCGCGTTGCCAGTTCTGGTCCACCACGCTTCGGCGCGACACGCTAACAACGTCCCAGTCCCCAAGCGTCAACGTCCCGAGCTTTCCTCAGCATCCTGCCCCACCGAGCGGAGCGATACGCTATCCGCTCGCAGGGCATGGCGTGTCGCTGAGGACTCTGAGCAAAAGATCCTGATCTCAGGTCGAGATTTGTCTGCGCCCCAAGGAGACCCCACAGAACGCGCGGACAAAGGATGCGCGGACGCGTGGCAGGACTCCCCCCGGCAGGGCCCACGAGGGCCCCAGGATGGCACCGTTCGGCTCCAGCAGACACTCAGCGTTCAACGCTGGAAGACGGAGCACGAAGAGGAGGAGGAGGAGGAGGATCAGGTGGAGGAGGGGGGATCGGGGGGAGGGGAGATGATGCTGAAGAGAAGGGTGGATCGGGGAGGAAGGAAAGGAGGAGGGGGAGGAAAGGGAGGAGGAAAAGGAGGAGGAAGGGAGGGGGGCAAGGAATAATGAGAGAGGAGGGAGGAGGAGGAGGGGGAGGCGGATGGGGAGGGGGGGGAAAGAAGAAGTGGGGAGGGACAGGGTAAAGGAGAAGGAGGATGAGGAGGAATGGAGCCTGACGAGCTCTGGCACCAACCCCGAGAACATCGGAAGTTGGCGGGGAAGAGGGCCTGGAGGCTGGAGGAAGGGATGGCGTGGGGAGCGCACTCTTTTTCGTGTACCCGGAGGTTCAGTTCAAGATCAAGAAGTCCACGCCCCTCCGTAAGCTGATGGACGCCTACTGCAGCCGCCTGGGCCTCCAGGCGGCAAGGGGGGTCGAACACGCCACACATCCCCCCTCATGTCCTCCCATCTCCCTCCTCTTCCCTCGCCTGCCCTCCTCTGCGACTATTGCACCCCTCTTGCCCCTCATCCCCCTCCTGGACAAGTCCCCCTCCACTCCCCTTGTACTCCCGCTCTGCGGCGGATGAAAGCCCAAATCTGCAAGATAGCACGGTTGCAGAGATGCCTGCACAATCCAAGACACCCCACCCCGACCTTCTTTGGTCCCTGCAGGTGGTGCTTGTGCTGCGACGTGTGTGCGCGTGTGCGTGTGTGCGTGTGTGCGTGTGTGCGTGTGTGTGTGTGTGTGTGTACGTGCGTGCGTGCGTGCGTGCGTGCGTGCGTGCGTGCGTGCGCGTGCGTGCCTGCGTGTGTGTGTGTGCGTGTGTGTATATGTGTGTGTGCGTATATGTGTGTTTGTGTGTGTGCGTGTGTGCGTGTGTGTGTGTTTGTATGTGTATGGGTGTGTTCCCCTTTTGCTATCGGCAGTCCTCTGGCCCCGATTCTGACTCCGCAGAACGATTTGCAAGACACGCTGAAAGTGAGAGGACGTTCCCGCATTGCTCCATCTGCTCCGAGGTTGCCTGGATCTAGTTTGCATGGCTTTCTTGCTATCATGCTCTCTCTCTCTGTATATATGTATATGTATGTATGCCTGGTGTTGGTACTGAACTAAAGCATATGTTGCTAAGAAGTCGAATGCATCTGAGGGGTCAGACTGTGATGCGGCGCGCAGGAACGAGTCGTGTTCGCCGCCAGCGCAAAAAGCCAAATGCTAGAACACATTCCTTGGTAGTCTTGGGACTGCTTCCGAGGCCCTTGGGACCGTCTTGCGGCGAGCTTAGCTACCTTTGGGTGTGTTTTGATTGTTTTACCTTCGTATCAAGAACCCAATGTCTGGTGCTTGCTTTTGAACCAAGCATATGTTGCTAAGAAGTCGAATGCATCGGATGGGTCAGAATGCGATGCGGCGCGCAGGAGCGAATCGTGCCTGCCGCCAGCTCAACAACAACAATCATTTCGTTTGAAGGCAGTCTGGGGCAGTCTTGGGACGGCCTTCGAGGCATTGTTGGCCGTGTTGCGGCGAGCTTACGTGGAGGTCTCGGGGCGTGGTTTGGCTGTTTGGGGGCGTTTGTTGTTCCTGTTTGGGCTGTGTGTTGGCTGTTTGGGCAATTGTTTGCCCCGCTCGGCCAGAGCCTCGCCTCGGCCAGAGCCTCCGCAAGCAGTAGTCATGTCCATTTGGAACGTGGCCCCGACTCGGCTCCAAAGAAGGTGGGCGGGGCGGCTTTCCGACGACGCGCTCGCGCGCGGAGGGGACGGCGCCGGCCCCTGCAGACCCTGCGGAGACCTCACCAGACAGCCGAGGAGCGTTCCACCGCGCCCCACCGCTGCAAGCACGGCCGCGGCTGCGACGCGTGGGCCCCGCTTGAGTCCTTTGTCGCACCTCCTCCTCCTCCTCCTCCTCCTCCTCCTCCTCCTCCTCCTCCTCCTCCTCCCTCCTTCTCCCTCCTCCTCCTCCTCCTCCTCCTCCTCCTCCTCCTCCTCCTCCTCCTCGCTCCCTCCTCCTCCTCCTCCTCCTCCTGCCTCCCGTCCTCCTCCCCCTCCTCTTCCTCCTCCTCCTCCTCTCTTTCCTTCCTCCTACTCCTCCTCCTCCTCCTCTCCTCCTCTCATCCTCTCTCCTCCTCCTCCTCCTCCTCCTCTCTCCTCCTCCTCCTCCCTCCTCCTCCTCCTCCTCCTCCCCCTCCCTCCAACCCTCCCCTCCTCCT